AAGGAACCAAAACCCAATCCTAAACAGGAAATAATATAGAATTGAAGAACCAAAAAACCCAATCCTAAACAGGAAATAATATAGAATTGAAGGAACCAAAAACCCAATCCTAAACAGGAAATAATATAGAATTGAAGGAACCAAAAACCCAATCCTAAACAGGAAATAATATAGAATTGAAGGAACCAAAAACCCAATCCTAAACAGGAAATAATATAGAATTGAAGTAGACCAAAAACCCAATCCTAAACAGGAAATAATATAGAATTGAAGGAACCAAAAACCCAATCCTAAACAGGAAATAATATAGAATTGAAGTAGACCAAAAACCCAATCCTAAACAGGAAATAATATAAAATGAAAAGACCAAAACCCAATCCTAAACAGGAAATAATATAGAATTGAAGTAGACCAAAAACCCAATCCTAAACAGGAAATAATATAAATTGAAGGAACCAAAAACCCAATCCTAAACAGGAAATAATATAAATTGAAGGAGACCAAAACCCAATCCTAAACAGGAAATAATATAGAATTAGAGGAACCAAAAACCCAATCCTAAACAGGAAATAATATAAATTGAAGGAACCAAAAACCCAATCCTAAACAGGAAATAATATAGAATTGAAGGAACCAAAAACCCAATCCTAAACAGGAAATAATATAGAATTGAAGGAACCAAAACCCAATCCTAAACAGGAAATAATATAGAATTGAAGGAACCAAAACCCAATCCTAAACAGGAAATAATATAGAATTGAAGGAACCAAAACCCAATCCTAAACAGGAAATAATATAGAATTGAAGGAACCAAAAACCCAATCCTAAACAGGAAATAATATAGAATTGAAGGAACCAAAAACAGGAAATCCTAAACAGGAAATAATATAGAATTGAAGGAACCAAAAAACCCAATCCTAAACAGGAAATAATATAAATTGAAGGAACCAAAAACCAATCCTAAACAGGAAATAATATAAATTGAAGGAACCAAAAACCCAATCCTAAACAGGAAATAATATAGAATTGAAGGAACCAAAACCCAATCCTAAACAGGAAATAATATAGAATTGAAGGAACCAAAAACCCAATCCTAAACAGGAAATAATATAGAATTGAAGGAACCAAAACCCAATCCTAAACAGGAAATAATATAGAATTGAAGGAACCAAAAACCCAATCTAAACAGGAAATAATATAGAATTGAAGGACCAAAAACCCAATCCTAAACAGGAAATAATATAGAATTGAAGGAACCAAAAAAACCCAATCCTAAACAGGAAATAATATAAACAGGAAATAATATAGAATTGAAGGAACCAAAAAACCCAATCCTAAACAGGAAATAATATAGAATTGAAGGAACCAAAACCCAATCCTAAACAGAATTGAAAACCAATATAAACAGAAATTGAAGGAACCAAAACCCAATCCTAAACAGGAAATAATATAGAATTGAAGGAACCAAAAACCCAATCCTAAACAGGAAATAATATAGAATTGAAGGAACCAAAAACCCAATCCTAAACAGGAAATAATATAGAATTGAAGGAACCAAAACCCAATCCTAAACAGGAAATAATATAGAATTGAAGGAACCAAAACCCAATCCTAAACAGGAAATAATATAGAATTGAAGTAGACCAAAAACCAATCCTAAACAGGAAATAATATAATATAGAATTGAAGGAACCAAAAAACCCAATCCTAAACAGGAAATAATATAGAATTGAAGTAACCAAAAACCAAATCCTAAACAGACCAAAACCCCAATCCTAAACAGGAAATAATATAGAATTGAAGGAACCAAAACCCAATAAACAGAAATATAGAATTGAAGGAACCAAAACCCAATCCTAAACAGGAAATAATATAGAATTGAAGGAACCAAAAACCCAATCCTAAACAGGAAATAATATAGAATTGAAGGAACCAAAAACCCAATCCTAAACAGGAAATAATATAGAATTGAAGGAACCAAAAACCCAATCCTAAACAGGAAATAATATAGAATTGAAGGAACCAAAAACCCAATCCTAAACAGTAAATAATATAGAATTGAAGGAACCAAAAACCCAATCCTAAACAGGAAATAATATAGAATTGAAGGAACCAAAAACCCAATCCTAAACAGGAAATAATATAGAATTGAAGGAACCAAAAACCCAATCCTAAACAGGAAATAATATAGAATTGAAGGAACCAAAAACCCAATCCTAAACAGGAAATAATATAGAATTGAAGGAACCAAAAACCCAATCCTAAACAGGAAATAATATAGAATTGAAGGAACCAAAAACCCAATCCTAAACAGGAAATAATATAGAATTGAAGGAACCAAAACCCAATCCTAAACAGGAAATAATATAGAATTGAAGGAACCAAAACCCAATCCTAAACAGGAAATAATATAGAATTGAAGGAACCAAAAAATCCTAAACAGAAATAATAGAATTGAAGGAACCAAAACCCAATCCTAAACAGGAAATAATATAGAATTGAAGGAACCAAAACCCAATCCTAAACAGGAAATAATATAGAATTGAAGGAACCAAAAACCCAATCCTAAACAGGAAATAATATAGAATTGAAGGAACCAAAAATTGAAGGAACCAATCCTAAACAGGAAATAATATAAGGAACCAAACCCAATTGAAGGAACCAAAAACCCAATCCAGGAAATAAACAGGAAATAATATAGAATTGAAGGAACCAAAACCCAATCCTAAACAGGAAATAATATAGAATTGAAGGAACCAAAAACCCAATCCTAAACAGGAAATAATATAGAATTGAAGGAACCAAAACCCAATCCTAAACAAAATAATAAAATTGAAGGAACAAAAACCCAATCCTAAACAGGAAATAATATAGAATTGAAGGAACCAAAAACCAATCCTAAACAGGAAATAATATAGAATTGAAGGAACCAAAACCCAATCCTAAACAGGAAATAATATAGAATTGAAGGAACCAAAAACCCAATCCTAAACAGGAAATAATATAGAATTGAAGGAACCAAAACCCAATCCTAAACAGGAAATAATATAGAATTGAAGGAAACCAAAAACCCAATCCTAAACAGGAAATAATATAGAATTGAAGGAACCAAAACCCAATCCTAAACAGGAAATAATATAGAATTGAAGGAACCAAAAACCCAATCCTAAACAGGAAATAATATAGAATTGAAGGAACCAAAAACCCAATCCTAAACAGGAAATAATATAGAATTGAAGGAACCAAAAAAATCCTAAACAATCCTAAACAGGAAATAATATAGAATTGAAGGAACCAAAAACCCAATCCTAAACAGGAAAAAAAATTGAATCCTAAACAATCCTAAACAGAAATAATATAGAATTGAAGGAACCAAAACCCAATCCTAAACAGGAAATAATATAGAATTGAGAAACCAAAACCCAATTAAACAGAAATAATATAGAAATTGAAGGAACAAAACCCAATCCTAAACAGGAAATAATATAGAATTGAAGGAACCAAAACCCAATCCTAAACAGGAAATAATATAGAATTGAAGGAACCAAAAAACCCAATCCTAAACAGGAAATAATATAGAATTGAAGGAACCAAAACCCAATCCTAAACAAGAAATAATATAGAATTGAAGGAACCAAAAACCCAATCCTAAACAGGAAATAATATAGAATTGAAGGAACCAAAAACCCAATCCTAAACAGGAAATAATATAGAATTGAAGGAACCAAAAACCCAATCCTAAACAGGAAATAAGGATAAACTCCTGTTCAAAATTCATCATTATAATTAATTCCCCAGAAGATAAATTACTTATGACTCAATTTAATATGTACTGTTTGTATTATTATTATGATTATTAAAATGACATACTCCAAAATGCTGAGTGGTGATGAGATTTGGGATTGAATGATTAATTTATCAAGGAATGGATATCTTGATATTATTAGCCTGAGGAGACAATACCAAAATGTTAACTTGTTGAGAAGTGCCTGAAAACCATACCACAGACTGACACAAGTCAGCTGGTCAATGAAATTGTTCAGAAGCTGTTACTGTTTATGTTAACATAAAGTCACTCTTTCCTAGAAATTGTAACAAAAGTCTGTTCAGTATTGTCCCAATATAAACCACAGGTTGGTTTTGTTTGTATTAATGAAACACAAATGTATAAGAATAAGTGTTTGTGAAAGGGATTTGCCTGAGTAAATGAACAAGCATTGTAATGAGTTCCAGCTATTTCATACATAAATGTTGATTCCCCATCTTCACAGAAGACTGCCGTCTTGCCCGTCAACACCTACATTCAATCTAGATCATTGTTTCCTCTCGAATGACTTTGAAGATGTCTATTCAAACCAGCAGCTGATTTGCAAGGCCTATAGTATAGATGACAGATGTGCTTCAGAGTCTTCACAAGGTTAAGCAGATGTTGCTGTGATAGGTCATCCTTCTGTATCATCATATACCTCTTTAATCCAAATGTCAATTCACATACTGCTCTGTAGATCACACATGTAGTATTACAGATTGAGGTCATCTCTTATGTGATTTCAGATGATTAACATACCCAGCTTTTGACAGTAGTATACGACCACATGTCTCGCATTTCCAGCTTGCAGTGCTGTCATCCAAGCTCCTGATAATACCTTTCCTCAAATCTCTTTTCAGTGCTGCATGTGCTAATTTTTTTTCCTCTGCTGACTTACATCCTTCTACAACAGCCCAGCTCCACTTATTGCAATCACTAGCAAGGTTTTTCCAGTCATCCACCCACACCCTAAGCTCTTTCAAATTATTCCTCACACAGTCCTTAAATCTCTTTTATGGCTTATACTGAGAGCACTTATCATTTGCAAGCTCACCATAAAATAGCTGCTTTGGCAACCTACTGTCATCCATGCATACCACATGTTTGGCACATACATACATACATACATACATACATACATACATACATATAAATAGTTATACACTAAATTCACTGGATCTCACCCCTATAGATGTCTTATTCTGGGGAGGTATAAAGGATATATATTTGGGTCTTCATTAGTCTATACCTAATTTTGTATATTAGTTTGTTCAGAAAATAAAGTCCAATTTTAGAATAAAACTTTGAGTTCTCATATATTATTATAATAGTTGCACAAAATATATTACTCACTACTAATATTTAAAATGTCCTCTAATTAATTTAATTTAGTTAATTTTTTATCAATCTCTTTCAGAATTTAACTTAAAACCTTATATATCCCTCATCTTGAAAAGAAGAGATGCATTTACTTCATTTTGCAAGATTTCAAACTTGGTCATAATTCTTCTCAAACTGCTGCCAGCACTGGTAAACAGTAACTATGAGTGGTGCTTGAACCTTGGAGTGATTGAACTTTAGTATTTATATATATATATATATATATATATATATATATATATATATATATATATATACAGAGAAAACCTCAGTTCTTGAATGTCTCACATGTCGAACAAATCAGTTTTCAAACAGAAAATTTGAGTTGAAAATTCCTCAGTTATCAAACAAAATTTCAGTTTTCAAACATTGTCGAACCGAGTTAGCCTGAACAGAATAATTTCTGAGTTGACTGCCATGTTGTATATATTTGTGTACTGTGCTGTGCTTTTCTTTACAAATTTTATTGTACTGTGACTTTTTCTCTACATTGATTCCTATTGGAAAATCAGTTTTGATTTACGAACTTTTCAAATTACAAACAGTCTTCAGGAACAAATTAAATTTGTGAACAGAGGTTCCATTATATATATATATATATATATATATATATATATATATATATATATATATATATATATGGTAAAAATATAGTTTTAATGTATACCATATTTATAGGTAATAGTGCTCAGTATCAGGGATAGAGTATATGTAAATATAAATGTGGACACTGCTTCAATACAATAATTAGATGTCCTGAAACAAACCTTTGCCACACATTGTTGGCTTCAGTGTCCACTCTAATATGCGTGTATCGTGTGGTTCTATTATGGTGTGGGAGTGCTTTGGAGGAGAGAAGACTGGAGATTTCATTCAGGTCAAGGGGATCATAAAAAAAGAACAATATAATTCAGTTTTGCACAGATATGCTATAACATTTGGTTTACGCATAATTGAAAAAATTTCACCTTTCAACAAGACAATGATCCAAAACAGTCTTCTAAGTTATGCCAAAATTACATCAAGTCAAATAAAGGAACAAAATTTTGAAAATTATGATTTAGCTACCTCAGTCTCCTGACCTTTCTACCATTGAATTAGTATGGGATAAACTGGATAGGAGAGTTCAAAGAGAATGCCCAAAGACTGAGAGTGAACCTTTTTCAGTGCTTGAAGAATGCTTGGGAAGGCCAGCTATCTGCTTTTTTTCAAAAAATGTTTGAAGAAATACAAAAAAAAGAATTAAGACATGTGGTGGTTTTATTGATGAAAACAAAATATGATGCTGTTGTATGATAATTTTTTGCAGTTAAGTGCTTATTTTTATCAAAGCAAATACACTAAAAAATACAAAAATACCTCATTTTATGGTGATTTTTTAAAGAAATGCCTGGTGGCCCCTAACTTATTGCTTGTATTTATATGTATTTATACATGCATATAAATGCACTCACATATAGAGAGGATATCATACATACATACATCTTCAGGACGTTAGTGATTGATGACTCTCCACAATTTCCTATCCTCAGTAGCTCTTAATAAATTTTGTCTGTTATCTCCCATAAACTCTCTTCTGTCATCCATTTACTCAAGCTAACAAGGTAGGTTATGGAGGCTCGGTGGAGTAATGGATAGCGGCTTGAATTGAGGAATCGGAGAGCCAAGTTCAAATTCCAGTCGAATCCATTAACATTCACTTACGTGCTAATACCCTTGGGAAAGGTGTGAATCCACTTTCTTCTCCCTCCAGTTATGGGTAAATAGCGGGACAGACTGGGTTCTATAGCCTTGGATGGCAACTGGTCTAGGAGAAGGAAAACTCTGAATTCAAACCTGATCTTAGAGGAGGGTGAATGGAGTCTCTCTGAGCCTTGGTTGGCAATCCATTTAGTGTTGGCGTCACGATAAAAACACCCTTGATAGCCCTAGCGAAGCATCAAGAATTCAGCTATTTGACAAGATTATGAAGTACACCAATCAAAGTATTGGCGAGTTCAATCTCAGCTGAGGCTGCAAGATGATGATGATGATGATGCATTGCTTTAATCTATCCCTTTTACCTTCAATATATCCTGTGAGTATCAAATTTTCCAAGTACTCTTTCCTCCTTATATGCCCTATAAATTTCATCTGTCTCTTTCTGACCTTAAATATAAGTGCTTTTTTTGTTTCCATCTTTTCTAAAACTTTGTTGTTGCTCACATGTTTGGTCCAAGATTTTTTAGCATCCTTCTGTAGAACCATATCTCTGTGGTTTCAAGTCCCTTCTTCATCTGTGAGGAGATTACCTTGGGGAAAAAACTTTTAATTTTCAGAACTGTTTTATTTATGTATCCTTGTAATTTTATACTCTGATTTTATTTTTTATTATTACTAACTGTAAAAATAAACAGAAATATTTAGAATGGGTGGCATTTAAGCTAGCTCCTGCAGATGACTCTTGATTGGGCTTCCATTATAATAGGTAGGGAATAGCAGATGCAATAGGCAACAATAAACTAAAGAAGAATTCAAACTTGACCACTGCATTTAAGTATTGCATTAATATTCAAGCTTACCTTTTAAAAGTTCAACAATAATTCTTTTGCTGCCACTTAATTTAAATACGGTTTGATGTACGTAGTTCCTTACTTTCCATACAAACAATTATTTTTATTTCATGAGTGGCTTTCAATGAATTTCACAATTAATTTCAATTATTTCCAAATTTATTTCCAAGTTACAAAATTTGTTAATGAACAAAAAAATTTGTGGAAAAAAATCACATAAAAATAAATCAGCAAAAACAATTGCATTAATGAAAACTTGGAAATCCAAAATTTCAGGATTGCAGGCCTGGATTCAATCTGGAATGTTTTTAATTTTCTCATGAAGTTGGCCTGATTCCAAAATGGTATAATATTTTGGGCTACAGCCTCTAGGAGTAAAATTGAAAACATGGACAATTTTATTTTGAAACACTGTAATTTGAGAACAGTAAATTTTTTTCATTTGAACATGAACTATTGAAAGTTAAAGAGTTGTATCCCTTTAATTGTTTTTATCAGTAGAAGCCATGATGGTGGAATCTAAAAACAGTAACAGTAATGAAAACTTGAGAATCCAAAATTTCAGGATTGCAGGTCCAGATCAATCCTGGAATGTTTTTAATTTGCTTATGAAGTCGGCCTGATTCCAAAATGGTGTGATATGTTGGGCTAAGGCATCTAGGAATTAAATTGAAAAAGTGTGACACTGTGACACACTGACATTTGCATTTATTATATAGATAATCCTAATTTATTCTTCTCATTGTAAATATTTACAAGGTTCACTGCAGGGACATTGTCTTTCCCTAACAATCATCTTATCTAAGTTATATATTGTCCATCTACTACTATTCCAAGAATTGAAAATATCCAAATTCTAAAAGGTGTCTGCTCCCAAGTATTACAGATAAGAGATTTCTACATGCATTATTAATAGGGTTTAGCACAAACAACTTCTAAGAAAATATTAAAATACATCATATTATAAAACGGTACAATTATTTTTTTTAGTTGGAATACTTTTATACATCTACTACAAAGTGCCATTATGAATTGGTGTAAATAGACCTCCATACTAAAAGAAATAATAAAATAGCTTTACTGGTTAAGAGTACTTCAAGTTACACCAAAGTCAAGCTCTGATTTTGAATTTTCATCCCTGACCACTGCAAAGTTTGATTGGTGTTTAGTTTGAGAACTAAGCAAAGTATTAAGAAACTGGAAATTTTCATTAGAATCAAAGGAAAGAGTACTGATAGGGTATGTAATATTAGTCCTTTGATGTAGCAAGGGATGCTGGACAATATTTTCACAGATAAAGAAGAGACTTGTAGCAATAAAGATGTACTGACAAACATACCATGGACCAAACACATGAGCAATACATGTGAGTTTTAGAGAAAATGGAAACAAAAAAATAGCCTTATACTTAACACTGGAAAGAGATAGATGAAATTTCTAAGACACAATGAGGAGAGAGGGTTTGGAAAATTTGATACTCCCAGGACACATTTAAGGCATAACCTACCTAGCAAGCTTAAGTAAATGGATGGCCAAACAGGGTTTAGGAGAGATTAACAAAATGAAAAAATTACAAAGAACTATAAAGGTCAGGAAATTGCAGAGAGCCAAGATCACTAACATCCTGAAGTAACGGAGCTTATAGAAGAAAGAATATCCAGATTAATTCATTGAAATGGGCTCTAAAACATTCAATATTCTTGGAAAATTAATTTTAATTATTTTCTTACAGATGAAGAAGAAACTCAAATTAACAGAAAAATAGCTCTACCAACAAAATATATAAATGCCATAAGAGGACTATATATGATCAAGAAAGAAGTTTTAATTAAAATAGGACCTAAAAAAGCACTTATTCTTAAAATCTTGAAATGCTTTAAATAGCAGGGCAGTCTGGGCTTATTATCCTTGGGTGGTTGTCAGTCCAAGAGAAGCACAGCTCTGAAATAAAAACTTTGATGAACGTAACAGAAAGGCAATCCACTTATCCATAAAAGAAATCACTTGTACATCAGTCATTTTCAATGAAACCTGTATAAAAGAGGGATTGCTCCCAAATACACAATTATGTAACCATAAATTCTATGCTGACAATTTCTTTTATTGCATTTTTCGTTTGTGAAACTTTTTTCTGGCTTCTTGCTTTCCAAAAATTTCTAAAACTTAAATGCAGTGTAAATTGTTATCTTCTGTTTTCCCAATTCTTCTTCTTTTATTGTTATCTCTCCTTAATAATATTTTTTTCATATTCTTTAACATTAAGTAAGCCCTTACATCTTTTTAGTGGCTTTATTGCATGAGCTGAATGATTATACATACATATATATATATATATATATATATATATATATATTCTTTAACATTAAGTAAGCCCTTACATCCTAGTGGCTTTATTGCATTGCTCAGGGATGAAATGATTATATATATATATATATATATATATATATATATATATATATATTCATATTCTTTAACATTGAGTAAGCCCTTACATCCTAGCGGTTTTATTGCATTGCTCAGGGCTGAAATGATTATATATATATATATATATATATATATATATATATATATATATATATATATATATATGTGTGTGTGTGTATATATATATATATATATATATATATATATATATATACACACACACACACTCATAAAAGGGTAATTTAAAAAACAGTGACTCCTACTGCTATTAATACATTGCTCTTCAACTATGAATTGAGCTCTCCTAGCCAATGGCATATTTAATATAAAAACATTAAAATTCCCTTTCTCTCTGCTGTGCAACAATAGCCTAGGGGCAGAATCTCTGATGCCAAATTAGTCAGGTTTTGATCCTGGCTTGAAGCAATCAGATATCTAGCGACACTGAAGAGCTGTGATATAGTGAAACAATCTGTCTGTGGATGAATATATATATATATATATATGCCCACATGCATATATATATATATACATTTTTCTTAATTATTTCATCCCGAGCAAGGTGAGAATACCACTAGTAACAGGGGGTTACAGGGTATGAAAGTGAAAAAGAAGACTGAGCATAATGAGGATTGAGAAAAGAACAAAAGATAAATGGAATTCAAGAAAAAGATTGCATTTGATGTTGCATTTAAATTTTTGATGATTATAGTTATCAGGAAAGCAAGTAAACGCAAGGGAGTTCCACAGGTGGGAAGTGTGAGAAAAGAAACAATTGGAGTAAAAATGGCTGTTGCATTTAGCTATTTCCACAGTAAAAGTTTGGGACCTAGATGCCAATTTAGTAGCATGCTTAAATTAATATATTTGGAGGACCAGGAAAAAACTTGTCAGTGCCATGAAAATATTTGTAGAAAAGACAGAGGGAAGCCACGTCACGTCAGTGAGAAAGTGAGTGAAATCAAAATGCCTGGTCAATATCAATTACATTACAGATCCTTCTTTGCATTTTGTCAAGAATCTCAAGATGTACAGACAGAGTGTCAGACCATATATGTGTGTGTGTATCTGTGTGTATCTGTGTGTGTGCGTGTGTGTGTGCATGAGTTCTACTATTTGGTCATTTTTGCTTTATTATGCTGAGAACTATTTTCACTTTTTTCTAATATGTTTTATCCATTTTAAATATTCAGAATTTCTTTCAACAAATGGTATTCAGAATAACAAGATATGAGACGTTGACGGCATTCCTGTTGATTCTATTTTCTTCATTTGTTTTCTTTTCATTTGTTGGGGGGTGGGTGATAGGATATTTATGAATAGAAATCAAGCAAATCAAATTTTTCTCTCAGGTCTCCAGCAATACCATTTGACAGTAAAACAATCAAATGGCTGCCATTCTCACCTGAAACAAAGAAAGGAAAGACAAGGCCTAGTAAAGAGATGGTCAGCATTAGGCTAACATGGGGAACAAGCGATTTTTGTATGGAACTATTTTTGTTTTGAGTTGATGTCTTTTGATTATTATTATTATTATTATTATTATTAATGGCTATTCTGGCTATAAATTTTTCACAGATTTCTTTACTTCTTCATGTTGAAATTCCTTTGTTTCCCTTTTTCTTTCTATTCTTTGGTTACTGGATATTTTGTTTCTTTTCTTCAGTTTTTCTATTTCTTTTTTCCTTTTTTCTTATCCTCTCTTCTTCTATAAATTCTTACACTTTCTTTCTGTTTTTTTATTTATTTGCAAATTATCAGTTTTCTTTTTTCTTCTTTTTACTTCTTTTTGGTCTGATTCTTCCAGTTCATCTGTTTCATGCTTTGTTGATGGCTTTCTATTTTTACCATCTTCATCCTTCCTTTCTACTTTTTTTCTTTTCATATTGCCTGATCTTTTCCACCTTCTCTACCCAAGTTTCTTATATAGTCTCTTTTTTTCTTATTTTCTGCCATTTTTATTTCTATTCAAAATCTTATATCTTTTTCCTCTATTGTCAATTTCTTCCTGCTGCTAGATTTTTTCTTCCTTTTCTTACTATCTTTCTATCAAAATATTTTGGCATTTCTTTTTTTCTACTTATTCTTTATATCTTCCTCTTCCTTGCTTCTTCATCTTTATTCATCTTTCAATTTTCTTATGCATTCCTTGTTTTTATTCATTCTCTTCTTTTCTTCGCTTTTCATTACTTCTTTCATATTTTTCTATTTTTCCTTGTTTTCACATATTCTCTCTTTTCTCTTCATTTTTATTCTTTTTTCAAATTTTTCATTCTTTATCTTTACTTATTTTTTTCTTCACATCTTTATTTTTATTATTCTTTCAATTTTTTGCACAGCTTTTTTTATTTTTTTCCTTTTGTTCATTTTTGTTTTTTTTATTTTTTCATTCCTAAAATTTCCTTATTTTCCTCTTTTTCTTCTTAATTTCCCTCCTTTCAATCTGTTCTTTTTTTTTGGCATTTCTTATTTTTATTTCTTTCTCTTCTTCATTTCTTTTTTATTCTTTTAAATCTTTATCCTTCAGATCTTCTCCATTTTTTCTTCTTCAGTTCCTTCTTCTTGTTGATTTTCTTTAATCTCATATTTTTCTCCTTTGTTTCTTTTATTTTATTTACCAGATTTTACTTTTAAATATTGTTTGAGAAGATTGTCTTTTTATTCATGCTGCCATTTCTGTAAGATGGTTGCCAGATAATTATGGTGAAGAAGAGACATTTGGATTTCTAAGCCGCCTCTGGGCAATGTGCAAATCCGAGGATAAAAGTGCATGTGACTAGCAATGTTGGTCATAGATGAAGATATTGAAAATAAAGATGTGAAAAAAAAAATCTTATCAAGCCACTTAGACATTCTGGATTTTGAGAGTGTAAAGATTTAATAGCAAACCTTACAGAAAGAAAACGGTTAGATATGACCAGATTTGACCCTTAAATATCTACTTGAGGAAACTATGCTTTTAAGTATAATACATTTGTTTTTAACACATTCCTCCTGCTTTAAATAAGAGAGTAATAACATTTCCCTGGGAAAAGATTATTTGTAACAATTGATATTACATAGCAGTTCAGAATTTGATTTGTTTCTAACAAAATTTTGCAGTTTCTTAATATTTTACTTAGCTTTTAGAAAGCAACTTTGACTATTCCAATATGCCTATGAAAGTAGTTCTAATTCTTGTTGAAATACACATTTTCTTTATTAAAAAGTTTAATCTACAAGTTGTCCAATATTAATTTCATGGTTTAAAAAACAGGATGCCTAATCAAGCATGTGTACACACTCCTTAGAAATGTAGTAACAGACTATGTGGAAGAAGTAGAATGTATTTCTTCTTCTTCTTCTTCTTGTTCTATACGCTGTGTCCCTTCAGGACAAGGGTTATCATGAATGTCCACAACTTTGTTCTTTATAGCTCTTAGCCAAGTTTGTTTTATGCTATCTCTCCTAATCCCTGTTCTGCTAAGCATTTACACAAGCTTGTAAGGTAAGTTATGTACCCACTTCATCTGTCCCTCTTTCTTTCAATATGTCCTGTGAGTGTAAAATTTTCTAAGACTCCTTTCTTCATTATGTGTGCCAGAAACTTCAACTGTTTTCTCTTAATTGGGTTATAATGTTAGAGCTTATAAAGAAATTAGAATACAAAGTCATATCCCTAAGTAATAACAAGATATTTTATGACTTGTTGCACTGCAGGCAGAATAGAAAAAAATTGCATTTGTGAAGAAGTTACAACTAGTTTTTTTTTTTATGCTAATGTTCACCCAATACAAGGCCAAAGAGCTACTCAAGGTAGTGTATTACCATGTGGTGTTGATTTAGTGTAAGAAAGAGCATTTGAGAAGAGACAGATTAATAATTTTTTTCAAGGATATTTATACAAAAATGAATTCACCAAATTCAGCCAGAATTTGAACTTGGGATGCCAATTCCACTTTATGCACTAATAACCACTATACTATACATACATCTTTTCTTTTTTTTTACATACATTTATATAAAAGCTTACAAACATGATTAAGCCTATGTATGTATGTTTGTGTGTGTGTGTGTGTGTGTGTGTGTGTGCATAGACTGGTTGAGAGAGTCCAAACTGCTTGGCTATTTAACCATTAGCTGGTGGGAAAAGAGAAGGGTTTATGCATTTCCCAACAAAAATAGTGTGAAAGTGAACATAACAGGCTAGCCTAGAATTTGAACTCAACTCAACATTTCCACTTTCCTCAACAATATTATTTACACTACCTGCACATATGCTGAATCCCTTTAATAATGAATATTGCATTACTGCCACTGGTATGTGTTGAAATGTTTGTGAATAGTTTTGACATGTCTGTATGGGTGAGTTGTGACTGTCAATCATAAGAGGAAATATTAATCTCAGGTAACATTTTCACTCCAGAGAAGACGTGACAAAAGTCATGTTTTTAAAGCTTAATAAAGCCATACAAAATTTTCACTCCTGAGAAACAAAGATACAACTACTGCTTTTAAAGCATAATAGAGCCATACACAATTTTCACTCTTGATTATCAGGTACTGTAATCTCGGATGTGTAGGTGGTGTCATGGATAATAGCTCAGAATCGTTAATTGGAGAGCCAAGTTCCAATTCTGCTCAGGTTTCTTTCCCCATAGCTATGGATTAATTAGTAAGATTTGTATTACTAAATCATTATTATCTACAAAAAGTCTTCCAGTCTAAAACTATTTTCTGGCTTTAAATAAACTCCAGCATTGATAAGCTGTAGAAAACAAATCAATAAATCAATAAACCTGGACACTTACTCAGGTGTGCATGTGGGTAAAGAATTTGTGCTGAAAAACAAGAAGTGATATAGTGATTAAGAAATTTGGTATCGGTAATAAAATAAATAGAAACAAGGTGACATTATATTTGATCATCATATTGGATCCAATGTGAAAATGTCTGAATCTGTTGCAAGCAATAGCAAAAGCAATAAGTATTTTGTAGAATTTAAAACAAACTAAATAACAGTAAACTTTCTTTTTTATGCTATTTTCCTATTTTATTGTTTTAAGCTCTCTTGTATCGAAAAAGATATGTGCTATTTTTTTGAAATATATACTAAATTTTTAAAGTATATAATTTTTTTTAAATATGTACTAATTTTCTAAAATATATACAATTTTTTAAAATATATACTAATTTTTAAAAATATATACTAATTTTTAAAATATGTACTAATTTTTAACATATATAATAATTTTTTTAAAATATGTACTAATTTTTAAAATATGTACTAATTTATAAAATATATACTGATTTTTAAAATGTGTACTAATTTTTAAAAATATGTACTAATTTTTAAAGCATATACACATTTTAAAAAAATATGTACTAATTTTTTTGAAAATAAGCGCTAATTTTTTAAAATATATATTAATAAAAATTAAATATTTAAATATTTAAAAAATTAGTATATATTTAAAAAAATTAAATATATACTAATTTTTAAAAAATATTTACTAATTTTGAAAGTATAAGACTGAAATTTCGTTCAACAAAAATATTTAAATATATGGCTATAGCATGTTTTTGCAAAACTTCATCTTCAAAATAAGGGTGTGTCTTGCACACTGGTATGTTTTATATTCCCAAAAATATGGTAGTTTGCACATTAGAACTATATATAAGAATGTATATATCAAAATATTATTTTTCTATTTTACGGAAGATCTTATAAGGATCAGATGATCACATTTCTTTCACAACTACTTTACTTATTCTTAACAGCATTCTAACTTGTTGACCTAATGGCTACCACTTTTGAATTCAAAGTTGTCCTTCTAAGCTGGTGGCCAACTAAGGCTAGAGACAACTCTCTACCCTGCTATTTAACTGATAACTGGAGGAAGAAGAGATAGATTCATACCTTTGAGTGAACATAGATTCATACCTTTGAATGAACATAATGAATTTGACTAGAAATTGAACTCTGCTTTCACTTTCCAAATTGCTAAACATTACACTAGTGGAATATCTGAACATTAACATATGAGTCCCATAACCCATTAGGGCTGTTGAGGCACCACATATTGTGCAGCTATAACAACAGTGGTGTGTCTAGGGTAAGATAGATTGATGGAGTTCATTTATCTTTAGGCTGGTTTTGAATTCATAGTTGTCCTTCTAGATTGGTTGCCAAGCAAAAAATTAGAGAGCTTCATTTGATCTGATATTTAACTGATAACCTTAGGGATTAAAGGCCAATTCATACTTTCCCAAGGATATTTGTGAGAAAATGAATGTAACAAACATTTGGCTGGAATTTGAGCTAGTTGTCTTTTCAAGCTGCTAACCATTACACCACTCACACATAAACATTCACCAGCTACTGGAACCATAGGAGCATCAGGTGATGTAATAACAGTGTTCTGCTCAAAATAGAGTCTGTAAAAATAAACAAATAAACTAAATTATCACCTTACTCAACCGGAGTTTTGAAGCAATAAATATAATCTCTCTATTTTTTACAATTCTAAATAACGAGAGATTTATTCTGTGAGAAATTTTATGGGGTTTGTTTTTTTTCTAGTGGGGAGAAATACCTGGAAGCTTGATTCATTAAATAAGAACACAAATCAAGAAAGAAAAAAAGTTTTTTCTTTTTTTTTTCTTTCTATCATTTCTATCTTTTCTTTCTTTCACTTTTTCTTTCCATCTTTTTTGTTTCCCTATTTTTTATTTGTTCATTATCAGTTCTTTCTTTCTTTCTTCTTTCTGTTTGTCTGTCTGTCTATAACTCCTTCTATTAGTTCCATCTTTTTATTGTTCATTTTCCTTTCCATTTTTTCTTTCTTTCACTTTTTCACTCTATCTTTTTTATCTCCCAATTTCTTATTTGTTCATTTTTTCAGTTTTCTTTCTTTCTTTCTTTCTTTCTTTCTTTCTTTCTTTCTTTCTTTCTTCTTACTATTTGTCTGTTTGTCTATAACTCCTCCTATTAGTTCACAAAAAAGATGGAGTGAAAAAGTGAAAGAAAGAAAAAATGGAAAGGAAAATGAACAATAAAAAGATGGATCTAATAGAAGGAGTTATAGACAGACAAATTTCTTATTTGTTCATTTTTTCAGTTTTCTTTCTTTCTTTCTTTCTTTCTTTCTTTCTTCTTACTGTTTGTCTGTCCATATCTCATTCTATTTGTCCTTTGTTTTTTTATTTGTTCTTTTTCCTCACAATCTTTTCTTTTTTTTTCTTTCTTTCTTTCTTTCTTTCTTTCTTCTTACTGTTTGTCTGTCCATACCTCATTCTATTTGTCCTTTGTTTTTTATTTGTTCTTTTTCCTCTCAATCTTTTCTTTCTTTCTTTTCTTTTCTTTCTTTCTTTCTTTCTTTCTTTCTTTCTGTCCATACCTCATTCTATTTGTCCTTTGTTTTTTATTTGTTCTTTTTCCTCTCAATCTTTTATTTCTTTCAATTTTTATTTTTTGCCTATTTTTCTTTAAAACCAAAAATCAACAAAATAAATGATTATATAAAAACAATATAATTTTTTTAAACTATTTCACCCCAGGCAAGGCAATAAAGCCATTAAGATGCAAGCTGCTACTGAGTATGAAATAATATGAGAAAAAGAACATATTATTATTTGTTTTTAAGTAACAAAACACAGACACATTTTTCAGAAAAATAAATCAGTCAACACCTCTTTTATCAAACATCTTGCTAGCATCTAAATGTCACCCCTTGTCTCTAAGTGAAATAAGATTACCAGAAAGAGGTTAAGAGGTTAATTATTTTAATTAATTTTCATTAAGCTTGATTTATCTGAAACTTCAAGACAAAATTGTGGTTAAAGGTAGAAAAAAAACAATAACGTTAATAAAGTAAAAGCAATAAAACAAAACAGTTTTAAAAACCGGAAACACTTAAAAAACACTTTATCAGTTGAGCCCTCTTTAGCGTTTAAAATGAAAAGCACTATTTAAACTATTTTTTATGCATTTGTTTGGTTAAAGGTCTTGTTATTCTTGGCATCAATTATAGGAATAGAATTTCTCACCTGGGAGGAATTTTAGGGTCTCAGCGGAAAAGAAGTCCAGAGATTGGCAAACCGAAATTATTGAATTATTGGTCTTTTCACAAGCTTTCCAACTTATTTTTGTTGCTTTTCCTCCTAATACTCAGATCTATGGCTGTTAATGAAGCAGTATAGAATAGAAATGAAATAATAATTTTCAGTGAGACTTGAACTCATGCTTTACCTATATTTTCCTCCATATTCCACATGTAAAGAGGTAGTTCCACACAGGAAGATTTTTTTCCAAGAACTGCTACTTTGTGCCATAAACTTTTGTGTAAATATTTCCTTGAATGCAATAGTCTTAACCTCTTCAGTTCAAGGTTCGCTTGCTATATATCTTTCTTATCTTCATAGTTCCTACTTCCTTCTACCTCCACTTATGTTCATATCCCATACTTCATTCAGTAAATCCTCTACCATGAGTGGTTCTTGAGCCTTGTATTGGGTAAATAAAAATGTACATTTTTGGGAAACTCACATGTACAACACTTTATCAATATAATGTGATAATAACAATATAGGCAACAGTTACAATAATGTAAATAATGATAACTTAACCTAGAAATTCAGACACAAAGGGTATTTCATAACAAATTTGAAATTCCATGAATCTTACTCATATCTACAAACACCAAAACAAGGTCAAAGGACACAATGGCTGAAACATTGTCATGATTGGTTAGTTGATTTTTCTTAGCAGCATATCAAAACTCTATCGGATATTTAATGTCAAAATCTTAATATTTTGTATGCAATTGTTTTCATGTATTTTTATTTTTTGGGAGATAATTATTGTTTACAAGTCTTACTAATTTAACCCTTTAAGCCGTGCATTCCGGAAGAATTTTAACCCTTCTTCCTGAGCTTCTGAGTCAAAATTTGCAAATATTCGGTATGTAATGTTTCACAGTAAATAAAAAATAGTTACAAAAATATAACTTCCTGATTTCTTCCTTAACAGTCCAGGTTGAGACTCTGCACACTTCATGGTAAAAACAATATTTTTTATCAAAAACATATGCACAAAATAACGTGAAGGCACAGACATGTTAGTATAACATTTGATGACATCAGAATATTATGGCTTTTCTGATTGGCTCTTCAAAATAAGATAATCAATAGCAAAACACAATGCAAATGTTTACCCACTGTTCAACCAGTGGCTGGGCATTAAGTCATTTTTCTCTACCTCTGTTAAAGTGGTGGTCAGAGCTTAAAGGGTTAACCCAAATTGAATGAAGAAGAGATGAGTTCATGCCTTTCCCAAGAGTATTTGCATGTAAGTGAATACAACAAATCCAACTGGAATTGGAACTCGACTCTATGATTAACAGTTTCAAACCATTATCCATTACACCAACTGGACATCCAAGCTTACAGTACCTTGTATTCCCAAGAGGTCACCCATCAAGGTACTGACTAGGCTCAACATTGCTTAACTTTGGTGGTCATACAGGAACCAGTGTTTCAACATTATATGGCTGTAAGACAGAATATGTAGATTCATATCTTTCCCAAAGGTATTTTCATGTAAGTGAATATAATGAACCCAACTGGAATTGGAACTCTGCTCTACAATTAACAATTCTGATCCATTATCTATTACATCACCCACAAATCTAAGCATACATCACCTGGTATTCTTAAATCGTCTCCCATGGCACTGACCAGGCTTGATGTTGCTTAACTTTGGTGATCATAAAGGAACTGATGTTTCAACATGATATGGCCTGAGACATTGTGATAACAACAACAAAGATGAGTCGAATGTAAATAAATAAAAAAAATTGTATCTTGTAATTTCACCTGAAAGTCTTTGCCATTCCATTTTTTGGTTGTTGATGACTTACTAAACAAACAACAGGTTTAGTAGAAGTCATTTTATTTCTTTTTGTATTTCACTTGCAACTCATTAGTAAAAGTTAGTCTTGTCCTAGTGCAGCCCAAGTGAGACAAACAGTGAGGCAGACTTGGAATTCTGAAAATTAAGGAAAATGAGATTGAGTTGATAAGAAAGAAGTACAAGACAAACGGAAATATTCCTTAATGCAACAAATGTATGTGAATAATTCATGAAATAATCTCAAGAAGCAATCTTTGGTAACGGCATCATTTTTCCCTCCAAGACACCAGGGCAATTTCGCATTTGATGACATGGTGAGTCCCCAGTCATTTATTATTTGGACAATCAATTGATCAAATTTTGAGTTGGTACTGGGAGTGTTCTTCTGCTTGCCTCTCTGTGTGTGTTTGTGTGTGCATGTAAACACATATCCATGCATATATATGTATCCAAGCATGAATAAGAATTATGTGTGTGCATCTGTAAATGAATCAAAGTTGTATGCATGCATATATATATATATATATATATATATATATATATATATATATATATATATATATATATATATATATATATATATATATATATATATATATATATATATATATATATATATATATATATATATATATATATATATAATAATAATAATAATAGCTGGCCACTCATATTCAATGATACCCAGCTAGCCAATCCCTATTGCAGACGCTCGCTCAGGCACATTCAATACTCACAGAGCCCACATGTGGTTTATACTGCAACTATGCACCTATGATTTTCAGGCACTTTCCAAAGGTGCCACATGCTGCGATCCAGTCCGATAACATCAGGATGTCTCCTTCCTTACAAATCAACCATGGTGAAATTCGAACCTGGCGCAGAAAGTAAATGTTCTCACCACTTGGCCACATGAATTTTTGCCGTGCCTTTAAAACTCAGTAAATTTAAAAATAAGTTACTCCAAAATTCACTTGAGGATGAAATGGAACTAATGTCTTTAATTTAATTACAAAATTAAATTCGAAGCTTTTAGCTTCCATTTTGAAACATGGTTAGAACTGTGTAGCAAAAAAAACATATTTTAAATCAGTTAATTTATAATATATATGGAGAGAGAGAGAGAAAGACAGACAGACAGACAGACAGCTACAGAGGTTTGGGGCAGGAAAACAGACTGACAGAGAGAGAGAGGGAGAGGCAGAGAAATGACATATTTATAAGGATCAATACTGTATGGTGACTGTTCCACACCTCAATGCAATTTTAAGTCTGAAGATCTCACTCTGAACATCCCATTGAGGCATGAAACTGAAAGCTAATGTTGATTCCTTGTCCACACTGATTCCTTTATATCTACTGTAAATTCTCTCTCATAAATATTCAGCACTCTTCTCCTATAAATACAGCAAATATTTAATGATATATTTATATTTATCTCTCTCTCTCTCTCTCTATATATATATATATATATATATATATATATATATATATATATATATATAAATATTAAAGAGTATAGACATTTTGTGTACTGAGTGTTACCATTTTCTCTCCAAGTTATGAATTTCCCTTTGCTAAAATGGCAGTTGGTTTTACACAGGGTAATTCATAATTTGGAGAGTAACATGAACAAACTCAATACACAAAATGCCTAACTCTTTAATAAGATATGTTTGAATGAATGATTGCTGCCTAAGTACATTACTATACATAAACACACACAACACACACAATATTTTTAGGCATTTAAAACAACATGCCTGGCTGCATACACTATTCCAGAAAATCCCTGTTGAAAACACAACTATACTTAAACATAAAACTATACATAAACAAAAACTAAAAATTGTTGAAGCTTTATACATAAAACAGTTGAAACCTAACCTGAACAAAATAAACTACAAAATCTCCACAAATATTCTTAAATGCCTATAATTGATAACAGAAGCCATTGGTTTATACCAAGGGCTTCCCATACTTAATACTTCTCGTTTTCACTCTCGTGTGGTCATATGTGACGTCACAAGCTGCGATGCGATTTTCGCTTCTGCATCTCATATACATGAGTTAGTCGTTGCTTTGAAATTTTTCATGCAACAAAAACAGACTATCATTATTGTTTTGTCCGTGTATTGGTTGATATATTGAAAAGTAATTGTTATCTTTGATAAGGGCTTATGTAAGCTGAAAGCTTAGATTGGACTTAAACATGTATCAATATGGTGATTTCCTTTCGTCTTTCAATGTTATTAACTTATTAGACAATATAAAAGTAACTTACTTAAAATAAATAGACAAAGTTTGTCTATATTATTTAATGAAACATGCATTAATATATATATATATATATATATATATATATATAACTTCTTCCATCAAGAAAAAATAAATAATATGTATATATATGAATATATCTATTCATATACATATATATATATATATATATATATATATATATATATATATATATATATATATATATATATAAATATATCTATTCATCGCGATTTGGAATCATATTTTTAAATAAATAATTATATATATATATATATATATATATATATATATATATATATATATTTCTACATATTTAGACAACAAATGTTCTTTAAGGCAAATGTTATTAAAGACAACAGACATTTTGTGTCAATTAATTTTAAAGAACATTTGTTCCAAATTATGAAAGTCTGTCAGAAGTTGTTGGAATTAAAATTACAAGAAATATGTTTCAAGCTTTTGATTTTCTTAAATCATCACCAGAGTAAGTAGATGTAAATAGGGAGTTTCATAGAACTAGGAAGTGTTGTAATGTCAGCAAAATGAGTTTGGGTATACATATCTAATGTATATAAAAATCATATTAAAAAATTTGATATATCTGAAATAAATATAAAAATACACACACATATATATGTATATAAAAATACACACAGACTTTGCTTATATATATTAACACTCATTAACTATATATTCATGCATATAAAAAAAGTTCAATAAAAATGGTCAAATTTTCATGGAGGTGACATAAGGTGTTATTGGCTTGGGGATGTGATCCAAGTTATTGATGGTAAGTGTCTGAAAACAATGTCAAGAGTTTATCCAAGCTGTGTGAGTGAAATTGGGTAGATAAAACTATATAAAAATCCTAAATAGTTGTGCTAACATGAATTGTAATTTCATCACAAACATGTGTTTAAGCGTACTAACATTGTTCAAACTATTGATGATGCTAGATTATGAGCTCTCTCCTAGAAACTGCAGCCAAGGCTCAATCAGCATCGATGGGCTTTGTGGGTGTTGAAAAAGCAAAAATATACCTGAGCAGGCATCTGTGACAAGGATGAATGTGCTCTGAAATGTATAGCCAGCCATTATATAAAAAGTACTACACAAATGTCTGCTTAATAGAATGTAATACAGCTTTTTGTTGCTATCTTTTTGGAGCAATACTCCTTGAAGACTACAAGCAGGAAGTTCTTTCACTTTTTTCATAACTCATTTGCAGGTTTAAACATCTATTACACTCATATTTAAACATATTCGAAAATGGTTGAACGTGTCTGTATTTAATCTCTGTGTGTATGTTTTCTTTGTATTCATATATTTCCATGTATCTGTTTGATTTTCAGAACATAAGAGGAAGAAAATAAGAGAAAAAACAAATGAAAGAAAGGATAGAAAGTGAAAGTGAAAGTTAAACTGAAAGGCACATAAAGTAGTCAGATCAACTGCAAGGTAAATAAAAATAAATTCAAAAATTTATAATTGATACATTTAGAATTTGCATATGCAGATACACACATGCAAACACACACACACACACATATATATATGTGTGTGTGTATATATATATATATATATATATATATATATACACACACAAAGTTTGTGCAAACAGCTCCTTGAAAAGGACAGTTAAAACCAAAACTTTTGCTTATTTGCCAATATGTCTACAACATAATTTCCAATGTTGTTGAATTAAGTACCTTCTTATCACCAACCTGTCTTTTCATTTTATATATTAAAACGCAATTACAGTCAATTCATAATGTTGCCACTTTTAGTATTTTTCTTCATTTTTATTTTCTGAATTTTTATTTTTTTTAGAAACATAACACACAGGTAAACACATTTGCCTCAAGGAAATGAAGATTCTATTTCAAGAGACCAACAAGTACACCCCCCCTCATCCTAAAGCCAAATTTCACTCTCTACAAATTCATGCTTTATCGGAAGTAGCTCTGTCTTTATAATGAGCTGACTGTTCCGAATATATTCTTATTCCCATTCTTTTTTTTAATTTTTTCCATCATAATTTTCATTAATTAGTTTACCTATATCATCAAAAAATTCTGATAATATTTAAGTAATTTTGTACTTGCATTGGTTACATTTTTTTTCATTGACAGCCTAGTATTTTTATCTATACAATTAATGCTATTGTCATATTTAAGAAAGAAGTGTGCTTTTTAAATCTTTAAAAGTAAAAATATCCAAGAAAAGCTCACAAGTTCCATACTGAGAAAAATTATGTGAATACTTAAGTAATTTTGCATTTGATTTGGTTATATTTTTTAGCCATGAAATCTAGGCACTTTATTTATAAGATCAACTTTATCATTGCATGCTAAAAAGAATTCTGCTTTTTAAATCATTAAAAATAAAAAAAAAGCTGACACAATGAATTTCCTAGATTCAAAAGTTTAAATATGCAAAAAATAGGTTTCATTTTATGTCCACTATAATTTTTTACAACAATTTAGGATCAATCTGACTCCTCATCAACTGTCTTTTCACATTCCAAGCAATGAACAAGTTACTGTGATCCTTGCAAACATTTGTACCACTTTACAAATATGTGTTTGTAATTCACACAATTCTTCTTCTTCTTCTTCTTCTTCTTCTTCTTCTTCTTCTTCTTCTTCTTCTTCTTCTTCTATGTGCCATCAGAACATTTGCAATCATGGATTTCCACAATTTTCTGTCTTTTGTAGTGCTTAATAAATATTCTGCCATTCATTTAATCAAGCCCACCAGGCATGGTTTTCCTCTATCCTGCTTGTTTTCAGTACGACCTGTGAGTATCAAATTCTCTAAATCTTCTTTCCTCATTATGTACCTTAAAAATTTCAGCTATATCCTTATTGCTCACATGATATTCTCAGCATCCTTCTGTAGAATTATATTTCTGTTGCTTCAAGTCTCTTCTTTATCTTTGAAGAGATTGTCCAGCATTTACTACCATATAAGAGGACAGATACTGCATAACAGTTCAGTACTCTTCACTTTGTTTCTAATTACATCTTCCTTTTTTTTAGCTTTGGGAAAGCATCTTTTTGCTATGCCAATATTGAAAAGTGTGATCTTAATTCGTCTGAAGTTTATAAACCTAAGATCAATTCAAACACTGGTCAAATCAACAATCAACTCCTTCTAACACTATTTAATTTAGTATGCCAGTAGAAAGAATCATCTCTTCCTGAAGATAGGTTCATTAGAAAGATTGAAAAATGTGATCTAAATTCTCTTAAAACTCATAGATCTATGCTCAGTTCAAACACAGGTTGAATCAACTCCTAACACTATTTAATCTAACAGATCACCTTAAAGAAGGATCATCTATTCTGAAGTTAGGTTCATTAGAAACATTGACAAGTGAGATCTTAATTCTCCTGAAATTCATTGATCAAAGCTCAATTCACACACAGGTTGAATCAACAATTAACTCTTCCTAACACTATTTAATCTAACAGATCACCAGAAGATAGAATAGTCTCCTCTTCAATAGTGGGTTCATTAGAAACATTGACAAGTGAGATCTTAATTCTCCTGAAACTCATAGATCTAAGCCCAATTGAAACACTGGTTGAATCAACAATCATCACCTTCTAGAATTGCTAAATTACACTCTCTAACAAAGGAGAAAATTAGCAAAGAATCATTATTTTGGGGAAGGTATACAAAGGCAAATGGTGAGGGGAGGTGCTTGGTATCTTTCTTTTCTTTTCTTGTTCTTTACTCTTAACCTGACATCTGCAATTGATATGAGTCAGGCCTCCCTCTTTGAGTTACCTCCCTTTCAGAACATGCTTTTTGTTTCCTTTTCTTTTTTTTAAGATAATAATATCTGGGAATTCTAAGCTATTCTTACCTAAACTAGGAATTTCAGATTTCTGACCAATGAGCTGTCACTTTTGTTCACTGTTGCTAGAAGCTGATTTTGAGTCAATTTCATGACAGCTTTCACCATTACTTATTCCTAAATAGGAAACTCTAATATATTGGCCAATGCACCCTTCTTTACATCTTGGAGCCTATTATTCAGTTACCCTAGAAATATATGTGATGTCCCTCACTAGCTTTGTTCTTCATGACACAAATTGGTCTGGAGTATGAAGTGAATGAATGGAGGAATAAATGAATGAAAAGAGGCATGCAAAACTGAATATTGCATGGAACTTGAAAATGGATAGTTTGATAGATATTGTCAATGAAGAGGAATAAAAAAGAAAGTAAGATAAAAGCTAGAAAAAAAAGGTAAGAATGAGAAAATAAATGTCCGAAAAAGAATATTGAAAAGAAATATGCAATAAAAGTTAAATAAATGGAAAAAAAAAAGAAAATAGTGAAAATAAGTTGTAATGAAAGAAAGAAATGAAAGAAAAAAGAGAGAAGTTAAGTTGGAAAGAAAGAAAAAATGAAATAAAGAAAGAAAGAAGAGAGAAGATAAGTTGGAAAAATAAAGATAGAAAAAATGGAAAAGAAAAGAGAGAAGATAAGTTGGAAAGGAAGAAAGAAATGAAAGAAAAAAGAGAGAAGATAAGAAAGAAAGAAAGAAAGAAAGAAAGAAAGAAGAGAGAAGTTAAGTTAGAAAGAAAGAAAGAAAGAAAGAAAGAAAGAAAGAAAGAAAGAAAGAAAGAAAGAAAGAAGAAGAGAAAGATAAGTTGGAAAAAATAAAGATAGAAAAAAGGGAAAAGAAAAGAGAGAAGATAAGTTGGAAAGGAAGAAAGAAATGAAAGAAAAAAGAGAGAAGATAAGAAAGAAAGAAAGAAAGAAAAAAAGAAAGAAAGAAAGAAAGAAGTTAAGTTGGAAAGAAAGAAAGAAAGAAAGAAAGAAAGAAAGAAAGAAAGAAAGAAGAGAGAAGATAAGTTGGAAAGGAAGAAAGAAATGAAAGAAAAAAGAGAGAAGATAAGAAAGAAAGAAAGAAAGAAGAGAGAAGTTAAGTTAGAAAGAAAGAAAGAAAGAAAGAAAGAAAGAAAGAAGAGAGAAGATAAGTTGGAAAAAATAAAGATAGAAAAAAGGGAAAAGAAAAGAGAGAAGATAAGTTGGAAAGGAAGAAAGAAATGAAAGAAAAAGAGAGAAGATAAGAAAGAAAAAAGAAAGAAAGAAAGAAAGAAAGAAAGAAAGAAAAGATGGAAAGAAAGAAAGAAAGAAAGAAAGAAAGAAAGAAAGAAAGAAAGAAAGAAAGAAAGAAAGAAAGAAAGAAAGAAGAGAGAAGATAAGTTGGAAAGGAAGAAAGAAATGAAAGAAAAAAGAGAGAAGATAAGAAAGAAAGAAAGAAGAGAGAAGTTAAGTTAGAAAGAAAGAAAGAAAGAAAGAAAGAAAGAAAGAAAGAAAGAAAGAAAGAAAGAAAGAAGAGAGAAGTTAAGTTGGAAAGAAAGAAAGAAAGAAAGAAAGAAAGAAAGAAAGAAAGAAGAGAGAAGATAAGTTGGAAAAAATAAAGATAGAAAAAATGAAAAAGAAAAGAGTGAAGATGAGTTGGAAAGAAAAAAAGAAAGAAAAAATGAAAGAAAAGGAAAAGAGAGAAGATGAGTTGGAAAGAAAGAGATGAAAGAAAAATGATTGAAAAATGAACAATGCAAATTAGAAAGAAAGAAAAAAAGAAAGAATAATGACATGCAAGAAAAAGAAGGAAGATTAAAAAAGGAAGGACACAAAGAAGATAAAAGAAAGAAAAAAGATAAAAGAAGGAACTGTAAAATAGAAATATTTTAAAAGGAAAAGCAATGTTGAAAAGAGAAAATAAAAGAAAAAGAACAAAAGAGAAAAAAGAAAACATAAGGAATTGAGAGAAGAAAGGTTGAAAGAGGGAAAGAAAAAGAAGGAAGATAAAATAGGAAATGAAAGAAAAAAGTAAGAATGAAAATATCAGAAAAAGAAAAGTAAAGCTCTTTAAGAAAAAAAGAAAGACTAAAGTGAAAAAATTGAGGGACAAAGAGGAAATAAAACCACAAAGATATGAAAAAGAAACATAATCATACATCATATATTCTTTTCAAATGAACTCATTCAGATAGATAGATAAATAGATAGAAAATATAGGGAGATAGAAATGGAGAAAGAGAGATAAGGAACAGGCAGAGATTGGCAAATAGCTATGAACAAAAATTAATATTGAGTTAGATGCATATGAGCAGAGATGAGATCCTCACTGGGTGCTCCAAACATTCGGCCTTGTGCCACATGTAAACTAGTTTTAGAAAATCATTCAATCCTCAATAGGTGCCCTATACTTTTGGTCTTGTGCCACATCTAGGCAACACTTAGAAAATCACGATATGATTATATCTATATTAATAGATAGAAGGACAGAGGGATATATAAATAATAAGTTCAACATTACTGCAAAGGATAGATAGATCCCAACAAACAAACAAATAGATAGATAGATAGATAGATAGATAGATAGATAGATAGATAGATAGATAGATAAGCACATATAGATAAGAACAGATACATCAGAGCAGATAGATAGATAGATAGATAGATAGATAGATAGATAGATAGATAGATAGATAGATAGATAAGCACATATAGATAAGAACAGATAGATAAAAGCAGATAAATAAATAGGTAGATATGAGCAGATAGATAGATAGATAGATAGATAGAAATGAACAAAATGGGAAAGAGAGTGAAAGATAAAAAGATAGACTTTTTAAGATCACAATATACAAGAAAAGCATCTTGAGTTGCTTGATGCAATCTGAACTTGGACTAATTATAATCTAGTATCAGCTAAGTTAAGCAGCCAGAGGCCAAAAAAAGAAACAACATAGCCCACCCAATTATTCTTATAGCATAAAAAAAGAAAAAGGTTTTTATCTTCTTTAACCACAAAGGATAGCATTGTTCTGTCTATACAACCTGTGATATCATAGCTAGTATTTATTAATAAAAAATATCAGAACTTTATTTCTAATGAACAAAGAAAAGACAATGAATCCTGAATAATTTCTTCATAGATGAATAGGACACTTCAGGCAATAGAAATGTGATTCTGTGAATCTAGCAAATTCCATGGATGGAATATATAAGCAACAAGAAAGTTATAAGGAAAATGAAAGCAAAAATTGTATATTAATTAGAAAGAGATACATAAGGAAGGTGGGCTTGAATAATTTGACATTCACAGGACATAATGAAAATAAGGAAAAAGAAAAATGAGCTTGTGCAATTGAACGTCGGAACAGGAAGTGAGAGGGACATCAAAAAGACAAACATTGCTATAAGCTACAGATAAAAGGAACTTCAGGAGAGCCATGATCATCCACCCGACATCCTGAACTGACACTTACAAAGTTTGATTTTCATGTCTATCTTGTTTCTACAAACAGTTTTCTCCATTTTGTATTCTTTTAAAAAATCCATTTTATATTGTTCCTGATTATTGCATCTTAAAAAGACTCCTTTCTGCATCAAGAAGGGAAAACACTGATGACTGTTTCTTTAATTTCATATGTTGGATATTGGTTAAGGAAATACTTTTGACTTTACTTCTGCTGCATCAGTGTGTGAGCGGAAATCAGAACTGGTGGTAGCATAAACAGGAAATGCATCCAGTGCCTAGAATAAACAGGATGCACAGGTGTTCTGAGCAGAAAGAAATGCATGCTTGCATGTCAAAGTTGCATAGGTGACATACCAGAAGAAGGCATATCCACACAAAGTTGTGTAGGTGTCAAAATGTTATTTAACTGGTCCAATTCTTGGTCTGGCTAGAGGTTAACTAAAGATTTTATATTAGTGTTCATCACCTTGTGTGAGCCCAGCAGCAATATACTACACATCTCGTCTTCTGAATTCTTACAAAGGCTTTTAAATGATCACTTTGTATATTTATGCACCAGTATAAAACTACTTTTTAAGATCAATGGTTAAAAATGGCTTTGAGTAAGTGAAACCTGTGGGTCATGGTGAAGACCACACCTTTTCAAACTTTGTGGACTGATGCTACAGAGTCACAAACTGTACTGTACCAAATAAGAGAAACCTCATCACTTGATGATTTTCAACAGAAGCAACAGCTAAAAGAAATACCACATGTAAATTAAAGAGAAAATAAAGACATATGTTGACAAGATATTGATGTTCCACACTACTTCAAATAAAAGGTGAGGAAGGAAACCCCCATCAATACTGGAAAGAGTGATAACAACTACTGGACTTGAGAAACCTATTTCCCTGAAAAATTGTTTTAAGTGAAAGATTTTATAATTTTAAACCAAAAGTACTGACTGCTCGGTTAATGAATGCTGAATATTTCCTTATAAGGAAATGGTTAATATTACTATCATCATTACCATACAATTTACTTATATCAAATCTACTACTGCAACCATATTACCCAGTACTACCTGTCATATAGTTGGGTTATTGGCAATTAAACCAGTTCTCTAACAAGACTTTATTCTGAGAGGAAGGTGGCAGGATTAAAAACAAGACCTGTCATAGGGTGGATGAAACTTCTTGTAGCGTTAATAACCAATCGAGCACAATGGGATAGACTGGATTCCATGGTTATGTATGCAGCCAGTACAGTACTGGATAAGAGGATTTCTAAACTGAAGTCAACAGCCAGAGTAGAGCCTTTCTCCAGTTGAAAGATATTTGGTTGTGGTTTGACCTAGAGTAGGATGGGTTCCACCAGATCTATTTGCCCAAGACATGCTATGGATGAATGAATACCTCTCTGGCTTTCAACCCAAATATATGGTGAGAACTGGCCAGGGACTCACTTGCACAGTGACCCTCTGACAACACCTGTGTCCATCACCAAGGTGAGCCTTCAAGTTAGTCAACATCGGTTTTGGTTTGACCTAGAGTATGATAGGTTCCACCAAATCTACTTGCCCAAGACATACTACATATAAATGAATACTTCTCTGGCTTTTAACCCAGATATGTGGAGATATGGGGTTTAGCTTCACATTGACCATCTGACAATACCTGGTTATGGAACTGATGATGGTGAGGAGGAGGAGGAGGTGGAAGAGGAGGAGGAGGAGGATTTATTTTACTCCAGTTGAATAATTGCACAAGTAATAAAGATACAGTTTTCAGGTTTCCTTAACATTTTAAAAAAAGGATTGTACTGCATCAACCGTTTTTTTTTTTATACCTTGACTTGCTAAATCAATATTTAGGAGAGTTTTACATTTCTGTTATAAGCTGACCGTGGCACATTTTTTACACAGCAGTTGGTAACCAGTGGTATATTTGCTTTTATTCTCACCACATTACCTGATGAATATGTTACAGCATAAATTCAATGCTTTTAGCCATTGCTAAGTTGAGGACTTCAATGTCAATGCATATTTATTGTATTTATAGTGCACATTTAGAATGATGCATCAGCAATATAGATGAAAGAATTCCTGAAGAGGCGGAGAAGGAGGTATAAGACCCAAGACTCAGCACCAAAAATGTAGACAAACATAATTGCATTGAAGAGTGTATGTTTCTGTGCCTTTCCTATGATTACAGATTATTCAGAAATATCTGTGCAATGTACCAAATCTTACATTGATTTGTCAATCTGCTGTTTATAACTTTATCTAGCTTGGCATTGGAGGACATGAAAGCCCAAGTGAAATTTATTTATAATCATATTGTAGTTCTTCTTCTCCCTCCACTATTAGTTAGTAAAAGAGAACATATGCTACAACCTGCCATTACCTTAGATAAATAATGGACCATTCCAAGGAAAGATGGAAGAGAAAGGAAAATAGGTTTCTCAAGTCCACTAGCTGTTATTGCTCTTTTCAGTACTGAAGAGGGTTTTATTCCTAATCTTTTATTTGAAGTAGTGTGGAATGTCAAGATCTTGATTATATCACAATTTTCTCTTTGATTTACATGTGCTATCCATTTTAGTTGTTGCTGCTGTTGACAGTTCTCAAGTGATGTGGTTTCTGTTATTTGGTAGAGGGCTTTGTTTGTGATTCTGTAGCACCAGTCCATAAGGTTCAAAAAATGATAGTCTTCACCAAGATCCATAGGTTTCATTTGCCCACAACTATTTTATCCAGTGAGAATGCATTTGTATACAGCTGACAGTTTTTCCATCTGCAATGTTATGCATTGCCTTTATGCAAACCTGTAACTATATCATACACATTTGTCTGTGATGCATGTGCACAGTATACCCTTATCATACTGGGAGATTTGGGTTTTTTTTTTACAGTAAGCTTCACCCTATACTAGGCCTGAGGGTCACTCAAAGTAGAGGGTTATGTTAAGGGGAATTTTATATTGATAGGAGGGGAAGATAACTGATGACTAGACTTGAAGAGATTAAGATTGTTGTGATCAGGGAAGCATCCTCTTGGGAGTCTGTTCCTTAGGGTAGTGGTTCATGGGAAGAAGCTGTTTGAGTCTACTTACTTCTTGCAGATGGACTATGGAGGGAATGAGGTCAGTTTGTTACTAGGTAAATGGTGTGGCAGGTCCTAGCCATGAAGGTCAGGCCTGATGGAACCAGGAGATGCAGTTCGTCCAAGCACTTTCCATGGTAGTAGTGATAGAGCAGTGAGAGACTCTCCACAAATCACCTGTGAGAGAGAGAGGTTGGAGTGTTAAAAATAATTCTTCTCCAACAAGAACTTGGAGATGCTTTTGAACTCTATCAATATTGGAAATTGAGGTCTAGGCAGTTCCTGACCAAATATGGCAACAGTACTTCATTTTCGGCCTGATCTAGCTCTTATAAGCATGAGGCGTCAGGTACTTACTGGAGCAGTTCAGGGAGTTATGATAGGTATATTTTTATATTTGTGCATTGGTGTTACTTTGTTAGCATTCTGATCTCTCACTCAATGGCAACAATAATAATAATTAAAAAAAAAGAATTTGCTATATTTTATCTGTTCATCTATCATCATAAAGTCAAATGAATTTTTGTGCTTAAATTTTAACTGACTATGCAAATAGAATAATGGTTACATGCATGAAAAGTGAAACTAACATGCCAAGTTCAAATTCTAGCCTTGTCTATTATGAATACTTTTGCACTAATACCCCTGGAAAAGGCATGAATACTTTCTTATTTCAATAATTTCACCCAGAGCAAGGTAGGAATGCCACTAGTGAACAGAGAGTGAATCTGAGAGAAAAGACTGGGTATAGGCAGGATTGAGGAAAGTATAAAAGATGAACAGGATTCAAGAAGAGAGGAGATAGCAATTGATGTTGCATTTTAAATTTTTGAAGATTGTAGTTATCAGGGAAACAAGGGAGTTCCACAGGCGGGAAGTGTGAGAAAAGAAACTGTTGAAGTAGAAGTGGTGGTTACATTTAACTATTTCAACAGTAAAAGGGTGGGACCTAAATGCCAATCTAGTAGCACATTTAAATTTACGTAGTTGAGGTACCAGGGAAAAAAGCTTGTCCGAGCAGTTCTCTTCTTATATCAGCTATGGTTTAAATGATAAAGTAAACTGGACTGTCTAAACTTGGATTAGACAGTCCAACAGAAGCAATATTGGGTTAACCAACTGAGGAGAAGGACTATTCAGATTTCCAAACTATAGAGAAGATGATGAGAAAATTGAGTACTATCTTATCCCAAAAAGTCATTGCAATTTCCAGATAATAAGGAAAAGTAATCAACAGAGAGCTACAGTCACCTTCATCATTTAAGAAATATACCTTAA